GAACTGTGCAAGTTTACAGTAAATGAGGATCTGGCCCAACAATTAAATATTATTTAATTGAGCTTGTCCTCCCCCCCTTCTGCATGATGTACAATTAAGGCTGACTTTTTTTTTCCTGAGAAAGGGATCTCTTTCTACTTGTTTTTAGGTGAAACATTCAGGTGCCTTTTAGGCTAGAGATTATCTATGGTGACTGGAGCATTAGAAAAAAAGATGTCATGGGAGTCAAAAAAGGGGAAAAATTTTACTCTGAATTTTTTTAAAAACTATTTGAGCATTGTTTGTGTGATTGGTTTTATTATCACTTAACTTATATGATGAACATTTGGATATAGAAAACCTATGTTAAAGATTTAGTACCATCATCCTTTCAGTCAAAGTCACAGTAAATAATATGAGACTTCTTAGAGGTTATCCATCCAGATCGGTAGACTCCAAACTTGCTGTTCCTGATATTTTGAAGGTTACAAAAAACAAACCCTTTCAGGCCTTGTTTCTGCTTTACAAAGTAGCAAGTATGTACAGAAATCCTCTTTTTATTTAAAGCCTGCATAATTTAAATTCTGACCCCAGTAGTTATTGGCACTAAAGAAAGCTAATGGGATGTGGACTAGTATGTTGCATAGACAAAAGGATTTATTCAGATGAAGAATTTGAAATAGCTAAAATTTCACGAGAAGGATCAATTTGAGATCTTTGGAAAGATCAGCTATTGAGTACATAAAAAAGAAGAATTTAAGATGGTGGTATTTTACAGAAAGTCAAATGCATTAAGTGGGTTTCCTGTTGATAGTCAAATGGTACATTTGGGGTTATTTAAAGAAATGTAGATAGTTATATATAAAGTTTAATAAGTTAAAGTGATTTTCACTTTTGTAGGAGAGCTCCTTTTGATTAGGGTGCAAAGGGGTGCAGCTCTGAGAGAAATGTTTTCTTTGTGCTTTTTTCTTTCTCTGTTTTGGGGATTTTATTTTTCTGGGGGTGGGAGAGTGAGGTTGGTTTTTTGTTGGAGTGTTCTGCTCAAAAGTTTAAAAATCAATATTTGAATGTTGTGTAATGGGGGAATGTTGGGCTTTTTGTGCCCTTATTTTTACTGTTTTAGGATGTGTAAAACTGGTTTAACATTTTTAAATGGTCCATCTTAGATGTGTAAAGAATACAAAGTTTGTCTCTTCCTTTGTGTATTTTTTCAGACCTCTTTGGAGGACTAGCCAACAAATGTAGTAAAAACCTTCTCCAGCCTTGTAAATTAAAGAAATTGTTCATATTTGTTCAGGTATTTGAGGTAAATAGTGTGACTAAAAATCCCTTCCTCTCCATTAGTCAGACTTCACTTCCTTGGTACTTGTGGTGTTATGATCCTACTGGTGGTTGTTGTTGTTGTTGGCCTGCCAATTTCAAAATGGTATCCAACAAGGCAAATAATGTACAAAGATTATTACAGTGACATGTAAAGTGTGAATATAAGGGTGTATTTAGTCACCATGACAGCTCAATTTGAAATAATGAATCATAGAACACTAGAACTGGAAGGGACCTCAAGAGGTCATCAAGTCCAGTCCCTTGCCCTCATGGCACGACTCAGTACCATCTAGACCAGAGCTACTCAACATATGGGTCACATGCAGCCCGTTTGTTTGCGGCCCACAGTGGGTTTGGGTTTACATGAGGCTCAAAGCGCAGCCCACGGGTGGGAGCCAAAACAAAAAAGTACTCACTGTAATGGTCTTCTGTTGATATACGTTTTAGTAGTTAAATTCCTGGACAGTCATTGCTCATTAAAAGTGCTGTCATATGGGTGGAAATCAGGTAAATATTGCATTTTATTAATATCAGCAGAACTGACTTAAATGGGGCCTGTGTGTTGTGTAGTCTTGCCTTAATCTTTGTATTCAAGCCCATCAGCGTGAAAGAAGCTATTTGTATATATTTGCATATATATGCAGTCACACTTAAATTGCAGCCCTCGGCATGTGCTGTATCATTGTGGTCCCCAGGACTTCCAAAGTCGAGTAACCCTAATCTAGCCCATCCCTGATAGATGTCTATCTAACCTGCTCTTAAATATCTCCAGAGATGGAGATTCCACAACCTCCTTAGGCAACTTATTCCAGTATTTAACCACCCTGACAGGAAGTTTTTCTTAATGTCCAACCTAAACCTCTCTTGCTGCAGTTTAAGCCCATTGCTTCTTGTCCTATCCTCAGAGGCTAAGAACATTTTTTTCTCCCTTCTCCTTGTGACACCCTTTTAAATACCTGAAAACTGCTGTCATGTCCCCTCTCAGTCTTCTCCAAACTAAACAAGCCCAGTCTTCCTTCGTAGATCATGTTCTCTAGACCTTTAATCATTCTTGTTGCTCTTCTCTGGACCTTCTCCAATTTTTCCACGTCTTTCTTGAAATGTGGTGCCTAGAATGGTGCACAATACTCCAATTGAGGCCTAATCAGCGCAGAGAAGAGTGGAAGAATGACTTCTCGTGTCTTGCTCACAACACTCCTGTTAATGCATCCCAGAATCATGTTTGCTTTTTTTGCAACAGCATCACATTGTTGACTCATATTTAGATTGTGGTCTACTATGACCCCTAGAAACCTTTCCGTAGTACTACTTCCTAGATAGTTGCTTCCCATTCTGTATGTGTGAGACTGATTGTTCCTTCCTGAGTAGAATACTTTGCATTTGTCCTTATTAAACTTCATCCTGTTTACCCAGATCATTTTTAATTATGACCCTATCCTCTAAAGCAGTTGCAACCACTCCCAGCTTGCTATCATCTGCAAACTTAATAAGCATGCTTTCTATGTCAATATCTAAATAGTTGATGAAGATATTGAATAGAACCGGTCCCAAAACAGACCCCTGCAGAACCCACTTGTTATGCCCTTCCAGCAGGATTGTAAACCGTTAATAACTATTCTCTGAGAACAGTTATCCAACCAGTTATGCACCCACCTTATAGTAGCCCCATCTAAGTTGTATTTGCCTAGTTTAAGGATAAGAATGTCATGCGAGACTATATCAGATGCCTTGCTAAAGTCTAGGTATACCACATCCACCGCTTCTCCCTTATCCACAAGACTAGTTATCCTATCAAAGAAAGCTATCAGATTGGTTTGACATGATTTGTTCTTTACAAATCCATACTGGCTGTTCCCTATCACTTTATTATCTTGCAGGTGTTTTCAGATGATTTCCTTAATTACTTGCTCTATTATCTTTCCTGCCACAGAAGTTAAACTGACTGGTCTGTAGTTTCCTGGGTTGTTCTTATTTCCCATTTTATAGATGGGCACTGTATTTGTCCTTTTCCAGTATTCTGGAATCTCTCCAGTCTTCCATGATTTTTCAAAGATGATAGCTAAAGGCTCAGATACCTCCTCTATCAGCTCCTTGAGTATTCAAGGATGCATTTCATCAGGCCCTGGTGACTTGCAGAAATCTAACTTTTCTAAGTAATTTTTAACTTGTTCTTTTTTTATTTCATCTTCTAAACCTACCCCCTTCCCACTAGCATTCACTGTTAGGCATTCCTTCATCATCAGACTTCTTGGTGAAGACCGAAACAAAGAAGTCATTAAATACCTCTGCCATTTCCAAGTTTCTTGTTACTGTTTCTCCTTCCTCACTGAGCAGTGGACCTACCCTGTCCTTGCTCTTCCTCTTGCTTCTAATATATTTATAGAATGCCGTCTTGTTTCCCTTTATGTCTGTAGGTAGTTTGAGCTTGTTTTGTGCCTTTGCCTTTCTAATCTTGCCCCTGTATACCTGTATTATTTGCTTATATTCATCCTTTGTAATTTGTCCTAGTTTCCACTCTTTATATGACTCCTTTTTGATTTTTAGATCATGCAATATCTCCTGGTTAAGCCAAGGCAGTCTTTTCCCATACTTTCTAACTTTCCTACGCAGCAGAATAGCTTGCCTTTGGGCCCTTAATAATGTCCCTTTGAAAAACCTCCAGCTCTCTTCTGTTGTTTTCCCCCTTAGTCTTACTTCCCATGGGAACTTACCTACCAGCTCTCTGGTACTCGGTGTCATATTCTTTAATCGAAAAAGGCATCATCCAAGGGCTCAAATAAATTATTCAAAAATATTTTTTATTTCTAATTAAGGGGCACTTATATCTGGATGAAGTCAGACATTTGGGTATCTAAGTTTCTTAACTGAAACATGTTCCTTTCCTGTTATGGGTTTTGTTTTAAATGGTCTATATGACCCTTTTGGGAGATGTGCTCATTTGTCTTTTTAACTTAAGTGGTATAACTGTTCTTCACTTCAGATTGGCTTTTAAACAGTTACAAGAAATGAAATTAGTATGTTCTGATTACTTTATATCTATGCTGGGCAACCTGCAAGCCACATGCAGCCCACTGGGGCTCCAAGTGTGGCCTGCAGAACCACTAGCCCTGCTCAAAGTACATAACCATATTATCCCAGATAAATACATTTCAATGAAACATATCAAACAAAAGAGGAAAAGATACAGAATAAAAGTTAGAAATACCGAAACAAAGGAAATTTTCTGGAGAAACTAAATAAAAAGCAAACTCAGACTTTGATGACATCAGACAAGCTAAGTAGATTTTTGTTTGCCTCCACAAGCTGCATAAATGTACAGTGCTGAAAGGACAAAGCATTAGAGAGCCACAAGGAAATCTTTAGTGATATATTTTCTACCCCAGAGATAGGCTTCTCGAAGTACAACTTTTATTTTGATTTTTTTTTAAAGATTCTGAGCGTTATTGAATATGTGAGATAATTAGAACTGATATAGCAAATACCAAGAACCAGTTTTCTTCCTACATTTTTTATCCATAACTCTGAAGTCATTCCTAAAGTGAGCATCATCTACAGTGTTTGTTATAGATTTATTTCTGCCTTATCTCTCTCTCATAGAAATTCTAATAAAAATGTCACAATTGGAACAGTTAGACTACAGATGGTACAAATGAGGAATACAATAGTTGATTTCAAAGTATTATGCATTCTGGTTTTAGGTAGCAGTGATGGTTCAGAACTTAGTGAAGAGACTTCATGGCCAGCATTTGAAAGGTAAGAAAAACTGCTACATCTAAATCTATCTCCAATTCCATTCAGACCTCACTAGTTAAATCTATCACTCAATTCTTTGCAAATGAAGTGTAATTTTAGTGATGTGCAGGACTCCATTATGTAATACACTGGGTAAAAACCATTGCCTCTAGCATACAGTGAACCCTTTAGTTCTTTTACAGCCAGCTTAGGGGGGTAATACCTTCTGGTTATCAGCTAACAGAGAGCTGTGTCACATTATCTGTTTATTGTTCAACTTTGTCTCCTTAATTAGCTGGACCACTACCAAACCCCTGAGAGATTTCCCTTTTGTGTATACCTGCATCTCCTGTTCAATATCCTCAACATCTTCACTAGCTCTCAGAACTCCTCTATATATATCTTGTATTCTTGGCTTTCTGCATTCTCACCAAAGTCCTGCTGTTCTAGATGCTTCTTCCTCTGCTGTTCTTCTCTCCTATTTCCTTTCCCAGCTCCTGATTACTCCTTCATCTATTCCTTAGGGAAATCCTGAAGCAATCCTAGCTATATATATGATATAATATGCCCATTACCATGGCACATGTGCACTATTCAGGTGACATTAGCCACTCTAATTCAACTCCCCCAAGTATTCAAGAGAATTAGATGAACATTAAATAGTTAAGTAGAAAATAGTAAAAATTGAAAAGCTAATCTTTTCCTGCAAACTAGTAAGTTGAACCATGAATAAAATATATTGTGTCCACTATGTATACCCAAGAGTCTGCTGGTAACGTGGATTATAATTCAGAGAACCCATCAATCTGGAAACTGACTTGGGTAACCATGCCTACCTAAATGCATGGAGACATTTTTGCCTAGAGACTTTACTCATTATAGCCGGGAACTGTATATCCCAAGCCAGCATTTTGCCTCTGTCTTGTAGAAGCAATTCGAATTGTACCAGTTCCTTATGGAGAAGCGACTGAAGTTGTTGTTTGTACCAAAGGTGAACCCCTCAATACCATATCTTCCTAGAAAATCTGTTGCCATGGAAGGAACCATTTCCCTTAAGTATCCAGTAGCTGAGAGACTAGAACAGTCTCTTCAGAGAAATAGACTACTCCTTGGTTACCTGCATGCAGCTCTAGCATACAGCATCATTTGGAGATTCTTTAAAGTGCTCATCCATTTTGACACATGAGAAGAAAGTCAGAAAGAAGAGGATCTGGAACTTGCATATAACTCATTCTTATATGTAATACAGCTTGTGATATCACAACATTTCATTTTGCTTTTCCTGCTGTGTTCCACTTTTGGCAGGAAGTGCATTTGACTAAGATTCTGAGATATGAATTCTATATTAAGTGCCCCTTTGATTCAAGTTCCCTGTGCTAGCCAAAAATTGTATGGGGAAGCTTCAGATACAATGGTGAAAAAAGTCATGGATCTGAGTAAGCTTCTTTTGGCTCACGGAAGACACAAATTTCTGTGTCAGGGTCAAGAAACTTAAAGATTTTAGCAAAACATTGGATCTAATCCTTTCTTGTCTCCAAAGGAAACTTCTCATGGCCCTTATCTCAAGAATTCAGAAGAAAGCAGGTTACCTCCAGTCCCTCTCCCAGTAAATAAGTGCCTAGATTATACTCTCTCCCCAACTTAGGGCATGTTGAAAAGTTGCCTACAGGTCTGGGTAGGAATTATCCAGGACAGTTTTTCATCCTGCACTCATCACCAAATTCCACATCTTTTTGACACTTCATTCTGTCCTGACCAAAAAAGCTTTTTTGGTCTCTTATTTGATATAACCACTTTTTCTGAACATTATCTTTTGTCCCATCCCAGGAAAGGGGCTTAAGATTCTTTATGGACAGTGGGAACATATCTTTCAATTGCTCAGATGGTGAAGCAAAGCTGGGAATTGGATGCAGGGTGTTTTAACTGAAATACCTAAAATTAAAGTTACTGTGGTACCTTCCTGAACAGTTGGAAAGTTCTGCAGTAGAGTTCCATTCTTGTTTAGGAAAAAGGTCCCTTTGTGAATAAAGGAGAAGCATTAATTAGCTGCAACTGATTGCTTTTAGCAAAATGATGACTCACGAAATGCCTTTGACTACCACCAGCCTGGTTCAAAGCCAGGGAGGGAACTGAAAGCCAGTGTCCTTCAGCTCGTCTTCCATAGTGAGTGGACTCAGCAGATTAACTATTTGTTTCAAGAACTAGAAATTCCATTTCTGGCTCTGTTGTATTTTAAAAGGTTAGTATGTTGAACATGGTCTCACTTGAGAATCAATGTTAGTCAAAGCTTATCTTAGCCGCTCACTTGATAGATTCACTAAAACTGTCCTAAGGCTATTAAATGCCTTAACTCTCTTAGGCACTTTTGGAACTTCCTTTCTGTTTTACGTGTAATTGTAGTAAGAGCTGTCTACTTAATTACAAGGAGTTAGAACTTACACTCCTATCCCTTGATTCACTAAATTACGTCTGGGGGAATTCTGTGCCACTGTGCATGTGCAGAATTTGTCCACTGTAGAATTTTTTGGTTCCCTGCAGACAGATTACTTTCTGATGGGGAAGAAAAAGGAAACCACAAAAGTGGTCATATGACACTCCCCAGCGGTATGTTTTGGGTGCGTAAGGTAGCCAGCTGAGGTAAATCACTTAGGGTGTGTCTAGACTACAGGGTTTTGTCGACAAAAGTGGACTTTTGTCGACAAAACTATATCTGCGTCTACGCTGCCGCTGAGTTCTGTCGACATAATGTCGACAGAACTCATCAGTTTTGTTGATGGCTGTAAACCTCATTCTACAAGGAATAACACCTTTTGTTGACAGAGTTCTGTTGACAGAAGGCATTATTGCATCTACACTGTCCTTTGCGTCTACACTGTCATGTCAATAAAGCAGCTTGCTTTGTCGACAGAACTGGATGTAGTCTAGATGCTCTTTGTTGACCGAAGCTTTGTCCACAGTATCTGTTGACAAAACTTCTGTTGACAAAAGCTTGCAGTCTAGACGTACCCTTGTAGGCGGGAAATGGGACTGGGGAAGTCTCTTGCAGAGTCCCATTGCCATTGAACCCAGAACCCCCCAACAAGTCCCTGTGCCTTCAGATCTGTCACAAACACTTAACTCCCCCTCCAGCCACTTGCACCCAGAGTGCCCCAAACAGAACCCTCTTACCTGAATTTCCTCCTTCTCCCCCTCCCCCTCCCCCCCCCACTAAGCCTTTTCACACTTGGATCCTGCCTGCCTGGCACAGAGGGGCCAGGCTCTGGGATTTTTCTGGAGCAGACACAGTTCTTGTATTGTGTCACAGTGGGGTGCAGTATCACCGCTGAGTCTGTGTTGGGATAGGGATCTGCACAGTGATCTCCAACCTCTACCCAGCCAGTAATCTATGCTCCCCAATGCCATGGTATAGCGCCTCCACGTTTATTTGACAGGTATAATTTGCAGAATTTTAAATACTGTGCACCAAATTTTTAATATTTTTGGCATAGAATGTCCTCAAAAGTGAAACATAGTCAGGATTACATCTTTCAGTTAAAGCTCCTACAGACAGCCTGGAGCTCAACTTAAAATAGGGACAATTGACATAACAGCCCTTTGAACTAATGGCTATGATTTTGTTGTCTTTTCTTGTCAGTTGCCTTTATTGTTGTCATCACTTTTTCAAGGAGAGTCAGTGAATTCAATGCCTTGTTGTTAATAACTTTTTTATTTTCCTGGTAAAGTGTTTCTCAAGACAGCATCATCTGGGGTTTTTACTCAAGGTTGTTTTTCCTTACCATTTAAAGTGATGTATTTCATTCCCTTTATTTCCCCCAGTCTTTCTCATCCTGATGATATACAATGGCATTCCCTGGATGTCTGCAAAGGTATTTTAATTAGGGAGAGCACTCTCTAAAGCCAAACTTTCAGTAAATCTGAGTAGGAGTTGTAAAATTGTACAGATGAGCAGGTGAAACTCCTCTATTTAGTTTGAGCTAATTCTATGAAATCTCTATTTCATTGGTAGCAGGAAGTATAGGTTCTTATGAGAAACACTGCGAAATGACAGCCTGATATATTTTCATGCATTTAGCAAACAGCATGGAATCTCTGTCAAAAGCTGGGAATGGGCAACAGGAGATGGATCACTTGGTGATGACCTGTTCTGTTCCTTCCCTCTGGGTCACCTGTCATTGGCCACTGTCAGAAGACAAGATACAGTGCTAGATGGACCTTTGGTCTGACCTAGTATGGCTGTTCTTATGTCTCATCATCAGCAGCTACTGGCTTTGGTTATGGTATCTTGCATATTGCCATCCTCCCTTAATCTCTGACTTTTTCTCTCTCCATCTTCTGAGTTCTGAACTGCTTTCTAATCCCTAATATTCCATTTCTAGACTGATGGATTACTTGCATTTGAAAATAAGACTATTGTGTCCTTACTGACTATTTGTTGTTTTATGGCAGGGAATTGATGCTCTGGATTTTCTCTCATTTGTAGGGAAGGTAGCTATATTTAGATTGCCAAAAGCTTTCCATGATCAAAAGTTCTTGTGAGGGTAAGCTTTTGAAGCTCATTGAGGGGAGAGCCTTCTGGTGAGAAGTGCCTTTTCTGTGTCTTCTGAAATTCTGTGCGGTTTTGGCAAAGGGATAAACCAGATATAATCACAATTTCTCCTCAACTGTTCTTATTGTCAGCTAAATTTTGTCACTGTGTTACCTCCTGTGGGAGGTCGTACCACAGTATATAGGTCTGTCATCTTTAGTGCTAGTGGGCATATTTACCAAATATAGTCTGTGTTCAGCCTGATTTCTTGTTATACAAAGACAAATTTAAAGGTTAGAACACAGCTTATTGCCATCTTTGCGTTAGTCAGACAGAAGTCACAAACCTCTGATCTAAATAAGTTCTTGATGCAACAGTTATATTTAATTTATAAAAATTGTTGGCATAGTTTATAATGTCTAAATTATTAGGATCTTTTTAGAAATAAAGAAAACTGACCATATCAAATTTTGCAAATTCAGTGGCACCTAGGTTGCTGAAGGGCAGAGATTAATTATTTAGAACACTGTTTCTTTGGGAAAGAGAGTGGGGTGGAAATGTATACTTTACAGTTCATCTATGATGAGGGTTCTTATTACAGCATATGCAATTATTTGAATTAGTAAGGTAATGTCAACTTTATATTTTGTTTAATCTTTTTTTATATTACTGTGTTTTCTTCAATACTGCAAAAATTCCCCAAGTATTTTCTGCAAGGCAGATTTACTTATTTACAGCTGGCAGGTTCAGTCTTCTGTAACCCAGAGTGACTAGGAAATCCAGGAAGCAAGAGAAGTATGGGCTTGATCCTTAGCTGAAATAAATCAACATATCTCCATTGTAATATATCACCATCAATTTACATTACACCAACATATCACCATCAATTTACATTACACTAGCTAAGGACCTGACTCTATATAACCAGCTTTGAATCAAGCACAGAACAATATTCAAAAATAAGTGTAGTACCCAACTGCCAGAATTGGACAGCAGAACTGAAAACAGCACTAGTGATGAAGGGCTTAAAAATTTAAAACTTCCTGTGTAACATTTATACTCCCTTTAAACCAAAGCGGTGAGTTATTACAGGTTTGCTATCTTAGAGCTTACGTAATTTGTATGTGACCTTGGACCCATAATATATTAAGCTACATATATTATCCACTTACAAAATTTTGCTTTGTTGACCTTTGCTAGCCAATAAAGATGTAGCCAAATGAAATCTGTTTTAAATGTATAGCATTTTAAATAGATATTGTATCATAGCAGAATGTGTGATTTTTCTTTGTAAGTCGTTGGCCTCTGTTGTTGATTTTGAAATGGTGCCAATACTCAGGATTGAGTTAAGAAGTCTTTGTTTTCCTCTAACTATGGTGTGCCTGTTTCTAAGTTTAGGGGTCTGATTGCCCTTTGCTTCTTGTCACAGAGTATGTATCAATATCTGTAATCAGCATTAAAGGCAGCAGTTTCCAATTTAGTGTCTTACAGGATTTTCATTTTTATTCTGTAAGTTAAAAGAAGCTTTTCTCTTCTCAAACCCATTAATTGAGATGACAGTAAAAATACCCCAGTGAGATGAGCACTGACTTCAAGAACATCAGTTCAAATAAGAAATGGATTTTGAAATCTACTACTGCATGTTTTTTCTTAATGAAATCATCCGCTACTGCTTATTGTAGGAGCAGTAGATATGTGGCACAAGAGAGACTTTATTACACTGTTCTAGCAAATTATGCTGCTTGTATGGATAAAAGTATATGTAATGTATACAATTTATAATGGAATCCAACAGGAACAGATTATACCATTCTCTCGGTCCGGTGACAAGAGTGGCACGAAATGGCTATCGAGGCCACATGAAGGCCAGCAGGTACAATAACCCCTTGCACACAGGGGCCACAGATTTTTCCTCTGGTGTTGGTGACTGACTTGATAATTAACTGGGTGTCTTCTGACATTTCTGATCTTTCTAACTTTCAAGGCAAAATTAAGGTAGTGGCTTATCTTTGAAACAAATTTCCTCTTCTGCGGTTTAATCTATATCCTCATATAGGCTCTCACTCATTCTGGTCTGCCTATTCAGTTTCTAAATATTGCATCTCTACATAAGCAGCTACCTATAGTAAAGTATTGTTAAGTGTTGATCAGGGTAACGAGGTGGTGGTGGTGATAATGATGGTGGTAGACACAATGATGGCAACAAAAGTGTACATATTGTGCTTGAGATTACACTCGAGGTATTTTCTTTAATGGTTCTTCACTGAATTTGCCTTTAAAATAGGACTGACGCGGTTAAATTGCAAGTCATGTATTAAAATGGGCCCTCTGTGTGGTCACACTCTAAGTAGCACTATATATAAAACTGCATGCTCACTCAGCTTTTCGTTCTAAATAAATTACAACTCTGCAGCAGTGTGGTACTGTAGTTGTAAAAGAGAAGGGAGTAACTTGTAATGAATAGCAAGCATTGTGTGTAATTGAGTTAAATTCATGTTCACATTAATGGCTGAATTTGCCAGTATGTCACAGTCAATTAGTAGCTGCAGTGAAAATATTTGCCAGATTTCTGAGTTCTTCTTTGGGTGATGACCCCGTGGGTGCTCCATTTTTGGCAATGGGTCATCCCTGGAGCCGCAGTTCGGAGCTTTTTCCCTAGAAGTTTACTGTCGGGCTGCTCATATGCAGGAGGCAGCTCACGCCCTTGGCAGTTTTGATAGCTGCCTTGCGCACGACCCGACCCCTCTCCTTCAATTCCTCTCTTACCACCCTCCCTCACAGACGGAGTTCCTCAGCTGTCTCTCTCCTCAGAGACATTCTTTTAGACCAGCGCTTGCTTCTTTCAATTTTTGCCTCAGAATTTACCCTCTCTATATTTCTTCTGATAAAATAGACAAAAAAATATTTTTTTTTCTTTTTGTTCTGTTTGGACCACTTCATAAGCTGCATCTCCACTTCTCCTCAGCCAGCTGCCCTTTTTCCCTTACTATCTATTATTTACCAGAGGGGAGAAGGGGGGAGGAGAGGGGCAGGGAACACATGCTCCTGCTTATCAGCTGTTAACAGGGGGAGCTAATTATGGCCTTCAGCTGCCTCATAAAGTGGCTTCTGCTATCTCCTCAGCATGACACCTTTTAAGAAGTATCAACAATGTAAGGAGCCTATGCCTACTTCAGACAGGCATAGCTCCTGCATTCGCTGCCTGTGTGAGTCCTTCACACCTCAGAAATTAAAAAAAAAAAGTCATGTAGCTTTAAAGACTAACAAGGTAGTTTATTAGGTGATGAGCTTTCCTGGGGCAGACCCACTTCTTCAGGTCATATTCTGAAAGTGAAATTGGCATGACCATTATATAACACTGGGATACAATGATTAAAAGTAAACAAATTACAAACTAAGGAATCAGCTACATAGAACAGAAGGTGAGGTGGAGGGGACAAGGAGAAAATTGCTTATTGTAAGAGTCAGTTAAGTGGCTAATCTGGAGTTACTACAAATATCAAAAGGTGGGGAGGCTGTCTTTGTAATGTGTAAGGTAATTCTCATCTATATTAAGGCCCATTCGCATTTAGCATAAATAAAAGTTCTGAAGTCTCCCTCTGTAATCTGGTGTTAAAGTCTCTTTGTAATAAGACACATGTTGTCAGGCCTTTAAGGGAATGGCCACTGCCTCAACCTGTTAGCCAAAGCCAGAAAGGACTGGGAGCTGAATGATACTCTTTGAAAAGGTGCTGCAGCCTTCATAGAAAGATCAGTCTACCTGGTCTGAGAGAGATCCTGAGACAGAGGTGCCAGTTAGTCCCAGTAAAAGTTGGGGCAGGAAGCCTTCCACCTTGAGGTCATTGCCTCTTACACTGTCCCCCAGTGGGACCAGGGGATATGTGCCAAGCACTTCTATAACTGTGGTGCCAGCACCAACCTCAGGCACAGTGACTGCAACCCCCAGAACTGAAGTGGAGCCAGCACACTCACTCTGTGCCGAAAAACCGCGCTGCTGCACATCAGCACTGCCGCCCACAGTTCTTATAAGCACGGCGCTGGGAAGGAGCAGGGAGCCGCCTGCCACGTGGTCCTGTAAGACTCCAGCACTGCCTGATCATAGGCCGTCATCCTCACATAGCTCTCGTGCCTCAGAGGCGCTGTTAAGGGGGCGGCTATCAGTGTGCCCGCACCATACTGACTTAGCCATCAGTAACCCCAATTTACTGACATGGCGGACCAATGATGTATCTTTATGCTCTCTTCCCCCTTCGAGGGAGCCTTCCCCAGTGCCCCCTTCCCCTCATTTATGCAGGGGCAATGCCAGGTCTCCATCACCGCATGAGGGGCTTCATTATTATGACCAGAGGAATGTTCTCCTCACAACACTCCCCCCAGCTGCATCTCGACAGTACTATCACTACAATGACCGATCATGCCACACACTGAGGTATCTTGAATGGCACTAACTGCCCTCCCCTTGTTACCTATGCTGTTGGGCTCCATGAGAGCAGTGGGCACCCCGTAGACACCGTGTCATAGAACTGGCTACCTCCTCAAAATGGCTCCCTCCAGCCTCACCATCTCTCACTATTCCCACCACGATTGACTCTGAGGAGGAAGATCAGATCCTGGGGGATGACGATATGCAGGTGCCTCATCACTCTCCAGGCAACAATTCATCCTCAGCCCCAGAGGATGCTGTAATTCCAGAGGATAGGCATGCCTCTGATGATTAACACAATTCCAAGAACTTTTCAAAAGGGTGGCCACCTCTCAGGAGGTCCAGCTCCCAAGAATTAAAGTAGAAGCAGCATCGCCTTTTAAAAAACATACATCCAGCTGCCCAAGGACGAATAGCATTGCCAGTTGATGAGCCGATCATGGAGGTGTCTGACATCTGACAGACACCTGCTTCCATCCAACCAACCTGCAAAAAGGTGGACCACAAATACTTTGTTCCCCCTAAAGGTCTAGAATTTCTCTTCTCTCATCCACAACAGAACTCCCTAGTCGTGGAAGCAGCTAATCAATGCTCAAAAGCCCCTCAAGGGCACACTTTATGATAAAGAGCACAAGAAATTAGACCTATTTGTCAAAAAGATCCACTCTTCAGCCACATTACAGCTTCTCATAGCAAACTATTTGGCCTTGGTAGCAAATCCTGATTTTGATAATTACTCCAAGCTGGCTGAACTGATTGAACACCTGCCAGACTCCAAAAGACCTATTTTCAGGGCAGTGATTCAAGAGGGCCACGCCATTGCGCAAACAGCCTTATTATCTGCCATTGATGTGGCAAACACAGCTGCTATAGCCACGGTCATGGCCGTGATCATGAGGAGAGCCTCCTACCTACATGTTGCTGGGGTGCCTCAGGCACTTCAGACGAGTTCAGGATCTCCCATTTGACAAGTCAAAACTTTTCACAGCAGATACAGATGAGATCCTTCATAACAGTAAGGACTCCCAAGCAACCCTCCGCACATTAGGCATGGGCACTTCTCCATATCATTGCAGATACTACTTCCCTAACAAGAACAGGGACAGCTTCTATAGCTGCCCCCACATGAACCTTATGACCATAACCTTCCCAGAGGAAGTGTCTGCCTCAGTCACATTCCTTGGGTTCTCAGGCTTCTAAGCAGCGAATTTGAAGTCTTGGTCGGGGGGTCTGTCCGACCTCCTCTATCATCTAGTGCCAACAAGCCAGAAACAATATTTGACCACAGGCTCCGCCCCTTTCTACATCGTTGGGACGCAATAACATCAGATCAGTGGGTTCTCGAGATTGTTCATGCAGGCTACTCTATCCCACTCACATTGCTTGCCCCTTACCTTCTCTCTCTCTCCCCTCCCTCTTCAGGTACCCCTCTCACAAGCCCTTTCTCAGGCAAGAGATCAATTGACTTCTAAACATAGGAGCAATAGAGAGGGTCCCTACTCCTTATCAGGGAAGAGGGTTTTATTCAACGTACTTCCTGACCCAGAAGCACAAGGTTGGAGACCAATCCTAGATCTGCGCAAATTGAACAAGTTTCTGAGAAACAGCATTTCAAGATGGTCACACTGGCTTCAATCATCCCTGCACTGGACAGAGGGGACTGGTTTGCAGCCTTCAACCTCTAGGATGCCTATTTCCACATCTCCATACTACTAGCCCACAGACCTTTTCTCTCTGTTTTGCAGTTGGGGAGGACCATTACCAATACACAGTCCTCCCCTTTGGCCTCTCCTCGGCACCTTAAGTCTTCTCAAAGATCCTCGTAGTAGTGGCAGCCTATTTCTGCCGACAAGGGGTCGTCATTTTCCCGTACCTCAATGACTGCCTCATCAAAGGACAGTCGTATGCAGAGGTGATAGACATGGTGTTAAAGACCAGGTGCCTCTTCAATTACCTGGAACTTCTGATAAACGAGAAGAAATCTATGCCCAGTTTGCTCCAAGAAATAGAGTTTATAGGTGCTCACCTTGATTCCTTATCAGCTCTAGCCTACTTACCTCAACAGTGGCTCAATACCCTCCGTGGTCTTGTCAATGCGGTATCTACGAACTCAGTCACTGCTGTTCATAACTGTCTCCAAATATTGGGCCACATTGCTGCCATGACATGTTGTCCAGTTTTCACGTCTCCATTTTTGCGCCCTGCAACATTGGTTGACCTCCATTTGCAAGACATCTCATCACCCATTCCACAAGTCAGTTACCGTTCCTGATCACATGCTCCAATCCCTCAGGTGGTGGACATCCCCCCATAGTCTCCTCACACGGGTCCCCTTCCTTAAACCAGAACCCTCTGTGCAAATCACCACGGATGCCCCACTCATAGGCTGGGGTGTACACCTGAGTCACCATACTGTGCAGGGAAAATGGTCACAGTATGAAGCCCTTCTAAACATCAATCTGTTAGAACTCAGGGCTGTCAGAAACACCTGCAAGCACTTTGCCCAACTCATTATCAATCACACAGTCAGCATACCAACAGACATTACGGCCACTATATTCTGTATAAACAGGCAGGGGGGTGCAGATTCCTGGTACCTCTGCACAGAGGCCACTCACCTTTGGAACTCATGTATCCAATATGGTGTTATCCTGAGAGCATCCTACTTGCCCGGCATCAAGAACATAATGGCGGACACTCTCAGCCATGACTTTCCCACAGATCACGAGTGGGAGTTACATCCATCAGTGGCAGCTTCTGTCTTCCGCAGGTGGGGATATCCACTAATCTTCGCAACCAGCAACAACACCATGTGCACAATTCTGCTGCCAAGTGGGTCTCGGTTGTGATTCCAGGGGGGACGCCTTTCTGATCCCATGGGACAAGCCACTACACTATGCCTTCCCTCCAGTGCCACTCATCTCCAGAGTCCTGCTCAAGATACGACTAGACAGCTCTTTTGTCATCCTAATAGCACCATCATGGTCCAGGCAGACCTGGTTCCTGTCCCTCCAATACATGTCGGTCAAACCACCTTATCTGCTTCCTTCCAGAAGAGATCTCCTATCCAAACACCATGGCATGCTACTGCATCCCCGGCTTCACACGCTCCATCTTCATGCCTGGCTCCTCTCCAGTTCCAGGGAGATGAATCCCTTCATGCTCTGAGTGCGTGAAGTCAGTTCTTCTTCTACCAGAAAGACTTACCTTCAAAAATGGAGACGCTTCACATCCTGGTGCTAATAAATCCACCTTGATCCTCAGAATGCCCCATTTCCTTCCATTCTAGACTACATATAGCACCTTAAGGAAGGGGGCTTGTCTGTCTTCATGGTCAGGGTACACTTTGCAGCAATTGCTGCATTCCATGAACAAGTGGATGGCTTATCAGTTTTCACTCATCATTCTGTTACCAAGAGGTTTTTAAGGGG